GTAGGGAATTGTTTATGTTAATTGCCAGTCAGTGTATTGTTTATATTCATTAAAATCTATTCTACTTAGTGAGTTTAGTGGTTAATCTCATATTTTTGCACTGTTTAGTACAGAGGAAACAATTATTCACAATATGAAATCTGTTAATAAGACAGACACTCAAACTCTAATCCAACTGTTGTGGAATCTCTGAAGGACAGAAACTGGTTTTAATAGCTGTAACTCCTCCAAACGATATTCATCGATTTAGTAATCTGTCCTCATTGAAGCAATCTTAGACTTAACTCGAGCAGTCTGTTGCTTTTGATATCTCTTTCTCTCATGTACTATTTAAGTCATGTCAAGTCAAGGTTCTTTATTGTCATTCGCATCACATGTGGTACATGAGGTGGAATGAAACCGTGTACACAGGGTCCCAGTTACATCCAACAACAGCAAAAACATAAAGTGCAAAAAGTATTATTAACCTTTATTTAACCAGGCAAATCTCACTGAGATTACAGATCTCTTTTGCAAGGGAGGCCTGGGCCTGAACAGGCAGTCTAACATGCAAACAAAACAGCAAATAAGGATCCAAGACACAAACCAAGATACACGCTAGTCACTAATAGTGCAAAATACACCGAACAACAGCAGCACAATTCTAAGCTCATAAGTAATCATAATTCTCATATGTTTTAGTCAAGTAATAATATCGTTCATTGTGCACCCTCTTCTACGATGCTTCTCGTGGCTCCAGAATGAATCTAATAGTTCTGCAACACCAGATTTACCCAAGAGGTATTTACTGCTCTTATCTGATGTGTTCTCATCCACCTGTTCAAACATCAGACATGTGTAATTGTCAAAAGGTCTATTAATTAATCAAGATTTTAAAGAAGAGATTTTAAATTTAAAATACATTCTTAGCTGAAACTTTATTCTGTACATGGACATGGACTTTTATGGTTTATTCTGTACACTTTGAACTTATAGAAATGTTGAATGTACTGGTCAGTTTGCAGGGTTTAATACAATTTCTACCTAAAGATCCTTATTTAGTTTTTGGCAGATTAGATGTACGGTCAGTCAAACTTTTCAGGCATTAGACTGTTTGACTCTGAAGATATGCAGGGTTTAGTTTGAAAAAAATATAAAATTAAAATTAAAGCCCTTATGAACCAATTTCTTCCAAATCTCTCTCCTAAGACAGCAGGTAGCTGAGTTACTGTCACTGTCATTGTGTCAGTTAGAAGTTGGAGATTCAAAATGAAAAACTATTCAGAAACTTTATAGTTTATTAAAGACAGTAAATATTTTTGAACAAAACTAAAACCACAAACTTAGCTTAACCACAAAATCCTTAACAAATCAAAGTTGAAGAACAGAAATTTTAAATAGAAATATATAAAAAAACAGCTTGTTTGGGAAAAAAAATTTAGTGCCCTATTGACTTAGACATTGATTATGGTCCATTTTGAATGGTGCAATATGAACGCTGCTGCTGGACTTACAGGTGAAATTGGGTAATTTTTTGGGCAACAGAGGACATAATATTACAACATACAGATTTTAAAAGCAAAAGTCAGACATGTTTATCTGTAGGAAATAAATCAATTACAGTTATTCTAGCTGTAAAATAAATCAAGCAAGTTTATGTGAATGAAATAATTTATAGTTAGATTTTTCTGCAACTGCAGCTTTGTTTTATCCATCAACTAAGCAAAATTAGGCACAATATACACATTTTATGGTTTGAATGAATACTTATATTTAGTGTTGTTGAAGCTTTAGATTGAGTCCTCAATTCAAATGTGACATATGAAAAGGATTACATGCCAAGAGAATGTGACAACTGTTTACACATCACACACAGACCGTCCATAAAGCCACTTCTAGTGTTTGCATGAGCAAACACACCCTTTGCCCTAGATAAAGCATCAATACACGACATGCGCTTTGTTTCTTTGACATGCTTAATTTGACACAAAAATAACTAAATAAAAATAACTTATTTTGCTGAGCAAAAATGGAGATGAATTTTAGCCATCTAAATGTTTTAGATTAAATGAAACATTTTTCTGATTGTGAATTTTGCAAGTTATGCAATAGTTTTATAGACTAATTCTTTTGATCTGTGATGCAGTGGTTCTCTATTTCACCTTCAAAACGACAACCAAAATGTGCACAATAAAAGCAGCATACCAACTTGGCTTTATAAAACATATATTTTTTATTCAAAAAATATACACTTCATTGCAATCAAATCATTTCGACACATGGCGCTATTTAAATGATCATTTAATATAAAAGAGAATTATAAAAAAAACAAAGTCAGTGATAGATATTCATTTGATGTTCTCATCTTTTTCACTTTTTATCTGTATGTTGTGATTCATACAACACATTATCAAACACAACTGATGCTTGGGAAAATAAGCACAGACACGTTTGATCGCTGTCGTTTCCACTTTGTTATTACAGTAAAATACCCGTCAAGCAACATTTGCTCTAAAACTACAGTAGGGTGATAAAGTGCTTGGTTAAAGTGTGCTACGATGGCACTTACATCTTACATTGAGTCATGTGACAGGAAGTGTATACACACTGGTAAAGGAAAACTGAACCCCATCCTTGTGGACTCTGGGACTCATTGAGCTGTTTGCAAGTGTAATGATCATAAACTGATGCCTTTATAATCTGTCTAACACAATTTTAACACAAAAATAACAAACAAACAAAAAAAACCCAAAGAGATATAGTTTGAGTTTTTCATAAGTCAAACTACAGATTTGCAGAGTTAAGGCGAATAAAGCTGCATTTAAGCTGTTAGCAAAGGTGCAAGCCTAATAAATGGACTTTGTGACTGTTTTCTACATTTTTACTCATCCTAAATTGTGGGAAAAAAATAGTTGTGAACAGGTTTGAACACAATGTTCAGAGATTAAACTGTTATTGCTCATAATTTTTGTAAAATATTTAGATTAAAATCCCTGGAAAATGTTCCAGTGTACTTCTTGAATGGGTTTCAGAGGTGCCATGAATGGATATTTTTTACTCTTTTAAGGCTTATAAGGAGCAGGCAGTTACATCAAGCATGCCCGATAGTCTCTGACTTATTAACACTGCAAAGCTGTAATCGAAAAATAAAACTTTTGTGTTCGAGTTTTGCACCAACATGTTTAAAATCACCGGTTACATGTTTAAATACATCTGTGATAATAAACTACTGATGCAAATCTGAGATTGATTAGTTATGAATCTTTAAATCAGAAACAAGCTATCAGAATGCCATAAAGGTGTTTCCATAAACAGATACAGATTACCTGGAGCTGGAAAGATACTAAATTTGCATCATCCCTGGAAACTTTAGACTTTGAAAGCTATAAGTGTCAACGTGCACATGTTCATGCTCATTGACCCACCAGCCTCACAGACCTTCACATTAGCAGACAGTGAAGCAATAGCTAAATGTTTGCTCACACTGCTGTGAAATGACCTTGGGTTCATAAACTAGCAGAAACTATTCACCCATTTGTGTAAATATTACAGTGCAGATGGAGATTTAATATATTTCAAAAGCATAAACACTTCATCAATCTTATGTGGTATGGGTGAGCTTCAGCTCAAACCCATGCTCAGTTCAGATTTTCTTTCAATATGAACCAAAACCTAACTCAATAATTTACAAAATGGTGAAACGATTTGCTAAATGTGGGAAATAACAATTAAATTAGTATAATACAGGTCATTTCTGCATGGATGGATGCACAGGTTCAAATAAAGACTCAGCAAACTATAAGCTTAAACTTAACCTAATGTAGACAACTGGCTCTCTTTGGTTGTTAAACTTCTTCAACTTTGCACTTGTTAAATTAAAGAAGGCACACTTTAAATTAAAAATGTATCTTTAAAGCCTTGCTTTAAAATGTCTGGTTCTTGCAGTAAAGTATCAAACATACAGCATGTAGACATTTCAGAACTATTCAAGCCCTGTAATTATGATAACACTATAAAGAAAACTTTTTTTTTTTAAACTTTTTTTGTTTTAAAGCTACAAAATCTGTTGTTTCCTTAAAGACAAACTGCAAAGAAATATTGCTTATTGCAACAGAAGTCCAACAGATCTGACATGTTTCTGCACCGCCTGGCCTCAGGAACACGTCTCAAAACAATCTGTGAATGTTTTCGTCAATTTTGCCACAATATAAAGCCGACTCAGAAACTTTACTGTCTACAAAGAAATCTACTCCCTGAGTTTGAGAGAATGAACTGAGGCAAAGAGGAAAGCTGTCCTCTGATTGAATAAATGAAAATATTATGGCTGACCCACTAACTATATTAAGCACTTAAATAGAAGAAGAAGAAAAAAATAAAAGACCTGAACTGCCTGGAAAGAATTCATTGATAAGCATACCACTGTCTCAACTGTTTTAATGCTGGCACCAGTTTAAAAAAAGGCTACATATTTATAGAATAAAATAAAATGAATATAATGTATACATTTATACTGATGTGGCTGTATGATTTAAAAAAGTAATGAATATTTACATAGACTTATATTCGAACTATGAATTCCACTTTCAGGAACGTGGATTTTGTTGTGCTTAGCAATAATATAAAGAAATACTGTGAGTTATGGAAAGCCCTTTTACTAAAACCCTTTGGTTCAAGCTGATTACTGCTTTTATAATACTATTTTCTCTTAACTTTAAAATAATAAAAGTTGTATTTTTCTCCTCTGTGTAAAATACAATACCTTCTGTCAACTTTGACCCTATAAAAAAACACTATAAATATAAAGGTTTTTTTTAATTGCATAAGAATTATAGAAAAAAAAAGATCATTTAGCATCTTTTTGTGCATTTTTCTCGTTTTGTATGAAAACTGCAATTGTAGGTTGTCCAAAGCTAGACATTCTGACATCGTCTGTATGTGCATTTATGTCTTTTTAAGTCTTTCTGGCCAGAACACAATGCTAAAACAGAGTCATAACTACAAAAAGTCTCCTCAACTGTGTTTTATGTGCATCCACAGGACTCCACTATCATGTCAGGGACGTCTGTTTTGACAATACTGTGCTGAGAGTCGAAGTAGACCATGGAGAGAGGCCGGCGCTCGGTGGGAATGCAGCACGATGTTGTGGCCGTGTTGATGCCATTGACTTTGAGCTGGCTGAAGACGGCGGCGTGGAATGAGGACGCTATGCCTGGAGAACCAGACAGATGTTGAGGACACTGGCCCATGCAATAGTTCATGTGGTAGCCCTTAGGTGCAATTATCCACTCATCCCACTGGATATCCTTGAACTTGATGTAAAAGTCTTTTTTGCAGCAGACTGTTACCTGTTCACCACAACGCAAGGATCGCTTCCTGATTGAGTGTTTGGTGTGGTCGTCACGTAGACGTACCTGAGCCACCAGGAAAGGCTGGTTGGACGTGCCAGCAGAGCCATCCAGTGAGCAAAGATTCTTCCCGTCTTCTTCACAACTGACCTCGAGCCGCAGCCGCCGGTCGCCTCCATCCAAGAACGCCTGCAGTGTGTGGGTGATGGGGAACGTGTGCCAGTTGCTTTCCTGAACTTCCAGCATCTTTTCTATCACCAGGGTGCGGTTGGAGCCTGACATTTCTCCGTCTGCAGAGAGGAAGACCCGGGCAAGAAGACGGGAGCTCCGGTGAGGGTCCTGAGAGGAGTGGGCGTAGATCCACAGGGACGACTGGAGGACCTGGATGCTCTTGCCTCGTTCCTGCAGAAACTGAAAGGTAAGGCTAAGACTGGCCTTGTCCCCACTCTCTGAGTTATCTATGAAACAATGACATTTAAATACAACAGTGTTAATATATTTGAACATGCTAGTTGGTCACTTTAAGTAGAAATTTGTTTAAAATAAAGACAACACATCACTCTTAAACATCTGAAGAGGCGTATGTTGATTTCGGAAGGGAAATTAATTCAGCACTTACATAAACTTACACCATATTCTTGGCATGTGTAAAAGTTTGGGCCCTCAGTTTTGCTTTTTATGTTTTCTTTTTAATTTTTTGAAGTTCACCTTGTGTTTCTTGGAGAAGTTTATGATGAATTTTCAAGTCTGCTGAGTCAGGACATTTGTGCATCCTTTTTGATGCAATCAGTATCAGAGGCTCTTTCACATTTAACCCCCAAACGAGAGTTTAATTTTAAAATTTTCATGTTGGTAAGTTAGACTGTGTTATTTTCTATTTAGGTCATGTTCAGTAAGTTTGAATCAACCTCCATGTCCCATGAGCTCATCTGACGGTCATCTTCATCAGACCTTGTTGGCTTCAATATTATGGTATTTCTTACTGACAGTTAAAACATGTCATTTGAGTGAAATAGTCAATACAGTATTTAAAAAAAATCCATTTGTTGTCCATTTGATACCTACATGTCATGGGGAGAATACGACCTAAACCCATTTTACGCACAGCTTTCAGTGCGTTCGTATTGATCATGGTTAAATTGAATGTTGCAAAAGGATCTCAGACTTACTTGTATCTGCAAAGCTCACTATTTCATAGCCTTGGTCTTTGGTTGGTACACTGTTTTCCAGTTCCAGGGTGCCATCCTGTCTGACGCGGCCGGAGTGCAGTTTGCGCAGCGCGGTGAGGAGCGCAGCCCGGGGCACGGTCTGAGTGATGTTTGGTCTCTCTTTCAGGTGGAGTTTGTCCAAAAGTTGCTGTTTGGCGAATTCTACCATCAGCCTCTCCTCCGCGTCTTTCTCCATCGGCGGGAAGCCGCAGGACGCGCAAGCCGGAGAAGCGCTGACCCAAAGACCCTTTAACACAAAGGGTGTGAGCAAAATGAGAGAAAGAGACGGCGCCATCCTCCAGCGTGAAGCAAACAGATGCATTCTTGTGCTCGCAGTGAGAAGACCGAAAATAAAAGTTTTTGTCAAAGCTCTTCTTTCTGAGTGTTTGGTTCTTTCCAAATGCTGTGATGGGGTTAGTGCTGACAGCTGGACGCCGTGAGGACAGCAGGTGAGAAAGCAGCAGAGTGGCGTCTGACCCTCCTGATGCTGAAGATATCTGGGGTAATCCACCAAAACTGGTGACACGTTGGAGGGACGCACCAATGAGCGCACACGGGCGCAGCGGAAAGGACTGGCGGAGCATCAGACTGACCCTTCACAACACGCACGCACACACACACAGCACGCGCTCACACGCTGGCAAATGACTCAGACTCTTTCCAAAAGATTTATGGCACTGACATACCTGTATGAGCTCACTTTAACGCATGAGGTGATTTTCTGTTGCCACGTTGCCCTGCAGGGCAACCAATAAGGCAACCATAACTTTTCTACAGATCGAAGATGAAAACATGCCCCCCCCCCCCCCCCTAAACTCTTAAAGTGAGCTGCAGCTGTAGATATAAATAAATATAAATAAATATAAATATATATGAGGGAGTGGCATCTCAAACAGGTTCTATCATGTTTTCTGCAAAGTGGCACAAGAGCTTGTCATCATGATGGGAAAGGATGAAGTATGTGTGTGTGTGGGGGGGGGGGGGGGGGGGAAAAAAGAAGTAGTGGGGAAAAATGATCAAGTCCTGCTTGGGCACTCGAATGAGCTAGTCAGCAAATTAGATCTGTAAATAAATAAATAAATAAACTGCATTTATAACAGCTAATAATAATATCATCATCTGAATTCCAAATGACCAAAACACTTAATTAAAAAAAATAAAAAATAATCCAGACAATTATACATTTATGCATAATCATATGTAAATTCCGACATAAACACTTTTGAGTTTTTATTGACACTAATCATTTCTGTTAAGGTGACTAATAACATGGGATGTAAAGTGGCATTTCATCCTCCATGTTTTTTTTAAATTTGTATTTGTATTGTGTACATGCACATACTGTGTTGTAACTGAGCGAAAAGCTTCTGAATAAACCACAACTTGCCTGCCCACGTGTGGTAAGTTCAGGGTATAACAGCTACTGTGCAAAGAGCAGCAGGTGGAGCAACTGTTAAAAACGAGGCTAAAAGAAAGATGTCCTCCTCAGGAGCTTGATTTAGATCAAGGCATCTTTTTCTAAGAAACAAAACCATGTCGTGTTGGTGAATATCAAACTCTTTACAGACCCAATAGGCCTATTATGCGTTCTATGACAGCTTTTAGCCCAGATGGAAATGTATCTGCAAAAAGCTGCAGGTATGTCTCTAATAAATGTTTATGGACTTTTTTTTTAACATTTTTAACATTTTTTTAATGATACTTTTGATTTCCTGACTTTGTATTAGTAGATCACGCTTTGTGTAACTTGTGGCATATTTAGAGTCTGTCGGAATTTTCACAAGTAAGAGTACAGTACAGTAATGTGAAAAAAACGCTTATCGTTTGAAGCAAATTTCAATCTCAAAAACGCACTGTAAAAACATATTTGTCATTTTATAATCCTTACACAGTTTGTGTTTTTCTTTAGAAAGTTCTGAGTAAGGTGCGATCATTTCTTTAAATAGCTGCAGAGGATTTTAGTAGCAGCAGCCAGTTAACACAAATGAACAGTAATCCAATATTGTGAAGCACTCTTAAATAGAAATAGCTGCACAGAAACTCAAGATTTTTCTCTAAATGACGGTAACCAGCCAGCGACAAAAAGCGACCTGATATCGTTTATTATTATTATTATTTCTAAAATAATTATAAGTAAAAAAAAAACAACTTTTAAATTGTTTTCCAATTTTACCTTACTGTATGTACCTGAACGTCTCCCATCAACGGCACGCACGTCGCTGACGTCACGGTCGACGAGGGGGGGAGGAAAGTGACGCTTACACACAAGCCGGAGCTGAGAAGGGGAATAGTTTCTTTCTTTTTGTTTCTTTAATTTATGTCATTTATTATTTTGCGTTTTGTTGATATATAGCAGCATTATCGTAACGGGGTTTACAGCCTTACTTTTTTAGCGCTTTCTTTCTGTCGTTAACTTTCATGCCGCTCTCCCTTCACGCGGCGCTGTTTTGACAGTCGTGTCGCTGTGATCCAACTCAAGCTAGCAACGGTAAGTCATTTTGAAGGCTAGCAAACTTAACCCCGTGTTTGAGACCCGACAGCGCAGGGACTTGTTTAAAATAAGATTCACACCGCCACAAATATATGACTTTTGCTGTCTAGCGAGTTATAATACAAATCCGAGGTTTTCTGAACGTTAGACCGGCAGCATACATTGAAAAGAAAAGGCTATCTAGCTGGGCTAACATTAGCTAGTTGGCTAATTATACTGTTTGGATAGCACATGCTAATATACCGTGAGCTAGCTATTGTTAGCGTTTGGGTAAGCTAATATTTTCAGTCAACTGCTCAGCCACGGCTGACCATACTGCCATCTGTTCTCTACAGTGACAACTTGGACGATTCTCTACACCGACTCTATAAACACCGACCACCAGAAGGGTAAGCTGAACCGCGAAGATGAGTTGAGATCATTTATAATCAATGATCCACTATGTTTAGTCTGATACGTTAGGCACCATCTTTAAAGTTCGCAAGTGGCAGTGTTGCAGAAACGGAATGGCCATGTTGATATATTTCTATTTAAGTGGGCAATTTTACTAAAATATTATGACCAAAGTTAGGGGGGAAATTAACCCAGATTAGTGAGCTTGTGTTCCCAGATTGTCCGAAACGATCAAATTAGATTAAGATATCACACCAAATAAACCAGAAGTAACTGATTTGTAGTTTGTACAAATGATTGGGACTATTTAGCAATTGACAGGAATACTACACTTAAGGTCTACCGACATAAAACCCTAACCATGAAATGTTTTGCCAACATGACATCGTTATAGTACTTACATTTTTCATTAGGTGTCATGTTTATTAGGATAGTCTAGATGTTAATCTAGATAGGGGTTGGGTGTTATTTTTGGATACAACTGCACTTTCATTATAAATAATTCTGTAAAAAAAACAACAACATTAGACCATCAAAACTTGTGTGCAAACTAGTCTTGAAAATGAGTACATCCAAATTAGATTTCAACATACAAAAAATTGGGGAAGTAGCCCTCTATTTGCCTCTCAGTATTAATGGTTACCTAGGAATGACATCACTGGGAAGAGGATATTGCAGAATGCATGTGGAAGGTGGAGGCTCACTGCAAAACTTATTTACGTTATTTTTTTAGTCTTGACTAACTAGAAAAATACTCGGCCTGCTCTTGGGAGTGACATGCTAGTGGTGTGGCAGGCATACTGTCACACCCTTTCTTTTCATTAATGAACTATTTGGATTAGAACTTCTTTTCAGCTACACTCTTTGTATTTACTTTTATTTTAAAGGATAATTTCATATTAAAAAAAACCCAAAGAGAAACATAAATCTCAGTTGAACCCATGCGATGCGCTTTAGAGTGCTGTTGTAGTGGACAGGCCAATACACTTTAGAAACACTTATTTTTAAATATAATTTTTGCCATCTTGTTGCTCTGGTAGTACTGTATAAGCTGATCATTTGTAATCAGTGTTGATCCACTGGAAACTTGTGGGCATTTGAGTTTTAGCAGCTTGTCCATCGTAAAGTTTACTCAGCCTTTCCAGATTGAAATGGTGCTGTATTGTCCTGATGCATGCTCAATAATTCAAGTAGATAAATCTAACAAGGTTGAGTCAGGTCCTCTGGATGGGTTCATTTTTGTTGAACAACAAAGAAGAATACAAACCTGTTGTTCTTCTCAACAACGAAGAACCTGTCCAGAGGACCTGATTCAACCTTGTTAGAAGTGCTGTATTGCTATGTTAGTTCATTGATAAAGTCATATAGCACAGTCATTATTCTCATTGTTGTCAAAATGAGATGTTGCAAAAAATTGACTTGTCACAAAAAATATTTACCTGATTATTGTATGGGTATGGGTCTGATGCAGTTATCACCACATTCATTTGCTTTTCTTTCTGAATCCTGTGCACAAGTTCATGCATCGGTCAGTGACAATTTGCCAGTCAGTTTGTGTTTATGATCTGTTTTCTGAGTAACTTGAACATTTTTCATTATTGTAAATACTTCAACTGAGCAAGTTTTTTATTTGTATGTTGTAAAATGTTGTTTTATGACTTGTCGCTATCGCGGATACTGATATTGGGATGTTAAGGCTAATGCCGATAACAAATATAATGGATACATTTTGAGTTTTGTCCACCCCTAAGAATCTAGTTTTCCATTTTCTTTCATTTGTTCTTCTCAATTTGTATGCTTTCTTTTAGGATTGCCTATTGTTGTCTTTGTTGTCTACTGTTGTCATCACTCTTTGTTAAAATCAGGTCTCTTGTAAATGAGTCCCAGAGGCTCAATGGGATTAACCTGTATAAATAAAGTTTGAATGAAAGTGTGTTACAAAAATATAAATTAAACAAAGAAACACCCTTCCCTGTTCTTTGTTTAAGCAGTCAGTCCTGTATAGTGAAGGCCTAAATAATATTGACTGCAGCAGCATTTTTTTTTCTTTGTAGATAAGTTAAGATTACTAACACTTCTATGTTTTACCTCCATGTTAGATTTATCTTTTTGCCTTAAGTTTTACAAGGCAATAGCCTATGCTACGTTATCTAAACGTTAGGTTGCTAACTTGAGAGGCACATAGCAAATGATAAGTGGGCTGGAGGATTGAAGAGAATTAATGATTGTTGATTTTTAATTTTACAGATCAGTGAAAGAAAACTTACCTCTGTTCAGCAAAATACGATACACAGTATTGTTCCCTGCTTTGTCTGTGCCAAAAGTGAACGTTAAAGTGAACGGCCATGACTTGAAAGTAGTCCACATGCGCCCTTTGCTGGATACATTGTACAATTACGCCCTGTGCCAGTAAGGACATGGCTTGTTCCCAGTGTTTATTTCGGCACATAATCGGACAATTATCACCAATATGTTCCCAAATGCCTATATCGGCCTAAAATATCGGCCCTACTGATATATTGGTTTGGGCTCTAGTGTTAATGGCAATTTGAATTTGCTTTGTTGCAGGTCAGACTAAATTATTATCAGTGGTTATGAGATTGTATCCAATTTAAGTATACTCCTGGATTATCGTTTTGAAATAAATTGCATTCACTGTGATTCAAACATTTCACCTGGGAAAAAAAGACCAAAAAAAAAGCATGTGTCAGATGAAAAAAAAATATTACTGGTGCCTTGGCATTTGCCAATAAGAATTCTTGTGATGTTAAAAATTGGCGAGAGGCAGGCAGAGACTGCAAACAGAGGCCCATTTGATGTTGAAATGGTCATTTTATTTCATCAGAAAAACTGGTACTACAAGAGCACCAAAGGCTTGTTAGTCCTGAGTCAGAACTGCTTGCTTCAGTGGCTTGAGGAGGTTTTCAGAGATTAATAAGATTACCAGTAACATATTTGTGCTGCTATGTGAGCAAGTGTAGCATGTAGTCAGCTTAATAAAGACGAAACACTGTATATCAGACAATAGGATGGCATGAATGTCGAGTTGAACCATTAATGTGAACATATAAACTCGCAGTTCTGTTAATTTACCTGTTGTGTTGTAATTCAGAATAGTTTCTGAATTCGGTGCTATGCTCCATTGATTTTCTGCATCTGTCTGTCCATATTGCCATTTTAAGAATAATGTTAAACATGTTTGTCTTATCAGTAATTAACATTATTCAATACTGCTCAGAATGGCATGGGCAAATGTGTTTTCAGCATCGTGTTGAAAGCACATAAAACACTTGTTTTAAACTGCTTTTAGCAGCTATACTGGTGGTGTTAAGGCATGTGTTTGGTGGCAACAAGAGATGGCATAATCTTTGGAGATACATTTTCTCTGGATTGTAGTTCTCATAAAGGAAAAACATGTATAAGAATAAAATCAAAACACTATACTAGAGCCATTTAGGGTGATGTAATAACTTGGCTCAGGATGTTTGGTAGGGACAAAAACAAATGAATTAAAAGCAGGTTCTGTTGTTGATATGGCTCTAACCAGCACAGAACTAGTATCTATTTCTTGTTCTTCTTGTCGAAACTGTGTTTTTATTACGTTTCATCTGAATTGGTACATTGTGCAACAACATATATTTTTTTACAAGTTGTTGATGTTAGGAAAAGATCATTGAGAAAAGAACAATCTATAGTAAGATCTGGTGAAGGTGAGTCACTGAATCTACAGTGTGCTGTTGCTAAGGCCACCAGTAAGAGATGGAATATCCTGCTTCTCTTTAACATATTTTCTCTCTGTACCCTGCAGATTGTGGGTTAAGTTAAAAATCGTTTTCATTTGTTTTTTATGATGTACGATAAATGTAAAACATCATATTATGAACTTTTATGGCAAAGAAAGTTGACACCTGTTTTAGAGATTGACAAAAACTTCCTGTAAAATATGCTTCCTTTAGCAGAATGCTTTAATATAATTATTAATTAAATTTTACAGTATTGAATTCTTATCTGTAATATGTATGGCAGGAGTGTCACTGTAAGAGTATTTTTAGACTTTATTTCATTGATCAATACATTAACACTATGGAGCCAGTATTTTAGTAAGATGTAATCAGTTTTTTGTCAGTCAGGTATCCATTTCTGCCTGTGTCTCTGAATCTGTTTGCAGCAGCATAAGAAGAAGAAGAGTGGCTTTTTCTAGAGAGATTTGAAGAGCTATTTATAGATCCCTGCCAAAGCACCAAGCGTGGTGCTGTTGCTGCTGCTTTTCTCTTTACTGCTCCTGATTCTGTTAATCTCCCTCTCCGTCTTTTTTGTTTCACCTTCTTTCATGTTCTGTATCCTGAGCTATTTTACTCCTGTTATACTTACATTTTAGTACAGTTGTTATTCCCCCCAGTTCATGTGTCCATACATCATTTCTTACTTTTATGCAAATTTTCGATCAAAGCCAAATGGAAATGACTGTGCCTGATGTTTTGCCTTAGATTTGGTGTCTCACTAGAATATCAGTGATATGATTGGAGTGTTATTGCATATTTTAAATGGAAATGGAACATGTGTAATTTATATAATATACTGTATGTACCAACAATTTTTAAAACTTAATATCTTTATTTGTCAAAGTATTTTGCATTGCAGAAGGTTTTACTCGGGTACCAGAGAAAGAAGCTGATTTTGTTTGATAAGTTGGTTTTAGTAAAGACTCGTTTTTGTGTGTGTATGTTATTTAATAGCTGTTCATTGTTTCCTAATGTCTCTTCCTCAGCTGTATGCTACATATAGAAAATGTAGTGAAAGAGAATGTACTCTGTGATGCTACAGGTTATCTCTGGTGTATTTTGCCACGGAGTCTTCTCCCCTTTCTCCTTCCTACTTTCCAAGCTTCACCGTTAGTTTTGTGAAGTAATCTAGCTGTTCAAGTGCAGAAGCAGCCGGGATTTATTTGAGGCTTTAACTGGCATTAGTTTATTGCCATCCTTTCTATCCCTGTCAC